TTCCAGAGAGCCTGAATCAATTCACAACTCTAACAACAATGTATCAAAGTACCCCTTTTACCCATTCTTGCCCATCTTTGGAATCTCTCAATCCAATAGGCAAAGATGTTAATCAGTTGTTTAAAAAAAAAAAGTCCCCAAAGGGACTAGACTTATCAACTATCTCTGCTGCTCCTTTTTTTTTTTTTTGATAGTATGCATATGAACAGTGAAGGGGGAACTAGGGTATTTCAAAGTGAAAATTCCAAACCATTTAAACTAAATACAAACCATATCAACACATCACCAACAAGGATTAAAACTGCAAAAATAAGGATTTTCAGTAAACCCCAAAGAATATTTATATGGAGATCACAAAGATGAAGAAATAGCTTAGATTGTTGTCTTAGGAGATGTCTTCTCTTGAAATGTGGGTAATACCCTTGAGGCATTTCAGTAAATGGGATCTAAGGCTTTAGTAGAGGAGAATAGCTGGTTAATGACATATATATGAAGTGAGTCAGAAGGCGGGATGGTCTTAAAAACTGGATGTGCCTGAGCACATACTATATTAGAAAGAAAAATGCGTAAGGTGTTTGAATAGAATAGGCAGTAGTATGTTAAAACTAAAACAGGGATATTTATCTTCCTTAAAAATGACTCTTTCTAACTTGGCAGGGTCTTCAATACTCTTCCTTGGTAGGCATGATTTTGATGGATGGCTAGATTAATAGGGAGGTAAAGAATGAGCCACTCCCCTTGGAAAAAATTATTTATAGGTAATCAGGACCAACGTTTATTATTTATTGGAAGGATAAGCTCTAAAGCAGTGATTCTCAAACCAGCAGCATAAGCATCACCTAGGAATCTGTTAAAAATGCAAAATTTCAGGCTCCACTTCAGATGTACTGAATTTGAAACTCTGGGGGTAGAGCCAGCAATCTGTGTTTTAACAAGTCTTCCTGGTGATTCTGCTGCACTGCCTCTGGGTAGTTAAATAATTATTTACTGTTTTTAAGGTGTTCTTTCCTTTTGCAAATTACAGTCAACTTCCTGAAGTTTAGAAAACGTAAAATTATAAAAAGATGACAAAAGACATGGATTGTTTAAAGACATCTTCCTAAAAAGAACACGGTGCTTTAAAAAGAATTCTGTCTGGCATTTTGAAGTGCACGTTTCAGCAAGGGGTGGGGGGGCCTGCTCTATGTAGACCAAAATTGCTTCTTCCAGGATGGGGGTTCAGGCAGTCCTTCACAGATGGTCTACATATTTCCATAATATTATATCTGCTATGAACTTGTTTGTCATTTGACATATCTACATAGGCCTATTATGACAAGATATCATCTTGACCAAAGGAAGTATTTTTCTAAAAATCTCTGAAAAGAGATCAAAGGCTTTGGCACAAAGCTTTAAATAGACTGTATTATGTTATGCACATGTTGAAAACAATACTATTTTCCTGGGGGGGAAATGTGTTTGAATAGTATCTTGTTAATTTCTTTCTCTGGATAGGCAGAGAAAGTCTTCCTCCAAAATCCTGTGGAGGGTATATGTGCAGCTTTTAAAGAAACCATCATAGTGTCATCTAGAGTACTGTCTCACATCCGTACCAGCAGCATATGAGAAATCAAACTGTTCACATCCTTGCCGACACTTGGTATGGTGGTATGGTAGCCATCCTATCAGGTCTGTAGTGGTATCTCATGGTGATTTTATTTTGTATTTCCCTAATGACTAATGATGTTGAACATCTTTTCAAATGCTCATTTGCCATTTATCTGTCTTATGATCCAATCAATTATTCCACTTTTTTTTTTTTTAATTTCAAAAGAAATACAAGCACATGTCCAAAGACATGGATCCTTGCTATGGTCTGCACTGTGTTGCTCCAAATTTATATGTTGAAGCTCTGACCCCGAGTATGACTCTATTTGGAGATAGGGCCTATCATGAGGTAATTAAGGTTAAAAGAGGTCAGATGGGTGGGGCCTTGATACGATGGGTTTAGTGTCCTTACTCTGTAGGGCTCCTGCTAATTCCCACGCCTCCCAGTAAAGAGAAGGTCACGTGAGCCACAGTGGGCTGGCAAGACCTATAAACCAGGAAGAAAGATTTTACCAGAAAGCAACCATGCTAGCACTCTGATCTTGGACTGCCAGCTTCCAGAACTATGAGAAAAGAAGTGCCTGTTGTGTAAGCCACCCAGTCTGTGGCATTTTGTTACGGCGGCCTGAGCTGACTTGTGCAGTCCTCATAGTGGGATTTGTAATATTTGAATTATTCGTAACAGTAAAAAACTGGAAACCACACAAATGAATGGATAAATAAGTAGTGGTATACACATATTAAGGAATACTACTGAGCAATACAAGTGAATGGACTGTTGGTATATACAACAACATGGACAAATCTGTTATACCACGTGATACAGACCAGACCAAGAAAAAAAGAGTTGTCACAATTATGCCATTTCTATTAAAGTCTAGGAAATGTAGACAATCTATAGAGACAGCAGATCTGTGGCTGCCTGGGATATGAGGTGTGGTGTGGAAAGAGAAGGAAGAACTACAAAGGTACAGGAGGAAACTTTAGGGGGTGATGAATACATTTATTAGCTTGATTGTAGTCGTGGTTTCATGGATACGTATGTCAAACTTATCAAACTATATGCTTTAAATATATCCAGTTTACTGTATGCCAATTATAGTTCAATAAGGTGTTTAAAAAAACCCCAACATGTGGAATCTTCCTATTATCTCTAGGAAACTCCAATTTTGTGTTAAATAGACTTTTTTTTTTCTTTTCTCCAATCTCTGACAAAGAAATGGAAAAGAAAGTGCTTTACCAAGAAATGGCTGTCATAGGTATAGAAATTCTTGGCTTTGTACTTTCCCTTGTGAGGGACCTGGAACAGAATTCTTGCCCCCACCCCAAACCCTCAGCCTTTTCATTACCTTTGGAGGTAAAACAAAAATAAAACAAAACAAAGTCAAAGGACATAAAACAAGTGTCAGTGAAACTCAAAACTGGGAAAGAAATGATTACACTTGCATTTTACCTTTTGTTTTGGCAAGCACAGGTGACCCTATTGGATATTGTGATAAAGAATGAAAACCTGTTATGAAGCCTTTCAATCACATTTGGTAATTTATGTCAGGAACATTCTGTTACAGAAAAGCTTCCAGAAGTAAGGACGTTAAAATCCAGAATAATGTGTCAGCTCATGTCAGGCAAAACATTGACAACACAACCCAAAATTGGACACAGAATTTGATTAGGAATTCAAAACCTGCTTCAATCTCACGGAAGCCTTGGAAGATACAATAGGGTTTGATTCTTAGCTTTAGGTAAAGTTCATACTAAACATGAGGGTTTATATCTATTGCACTTTGGGGACTGTGCTAATTCATGTTTGGATGGGCCTGAGATAACAGGAAAGGCGGAGTCTTAGAAGGTCCTTTGTGGCAAATGACTATGGAAGGAAACTTCCTCCAAAGTTGTAAATTGTTCATTTCCATTCTACTGTGTGGCAGACGCCAGTATTTTTTTTTCTTTAAAAATTTTTTAAGGTTTTAAGCAAATTTTGTGAGTTTTGACTACCTAGCTTATAAGTGGTAGAAGAGGGAACTCAAAACTATGAGATGCCAAAGCTCTTGCTCTTTCTGATACTCAATATGAAGTAGAGAAGTTTTCTGGGAGGCCTACCGTCAACCCTGCCCCACGTCCTCCCCGCCCTACGTCCTCCCCGGTGTCTGCTCTAACTTGTACTTGCATCAACTCGCTGCTGGTTCGCAGCTGGAGAGCACAGACTGCACCTGCTCCGAAGGCCAGGGAGCCCGGCCTCATCCGGCGCTCAGCTTCTGCGGCTTGTGCACGGACACGAGGACCCACCAGGGGTCACTGCAGCCTCAGAACTATTGTGCCCGCCAGTCGTGGACACGGCCCGTCGCACTGAGGGCGTGGGACTGGGAGCGCCGAACGCCAGGGTCCGAGCAGAACTGCGCCCGGCCTTCCTGGAGCCAGCCTCCGGTCTCCCCGGGAAACGGACACGGCAAGCAGGGCCAGGGCTCGGGACAGCCAGGCGACCAGGGTGCAGCGCACGGGTTCCCGTGCGGACCTGCTCGCACCTCGCCGTTCGACCACCTCCGCTCCGCCTTCCGCCCTTAGCCGGGACCGAGCCCGGAAGGGGCGCCCCTTCCCGGCCTCTGGGCCCCCGCTCCGCTCCGGGGCTTTCTGCTGACGCCGGGGCCCAGCCTAGCTGCACCTGGGCTGCTCCCGCCCGGGGCGCCACCCCTCGCGCCGCCTAGGGAACTTTCCCGGGAGCCGCCGCGGCCTGCACGCCCAGGGCACACCCCCATCCGCCCGCCGGCGCATTCCCAGCTTGGGCTCCCGCTTCTTCGCCGGCCCGCGCGCCCGCAAGCCCTCTGACTCCCCGCTTCTCAGAATCTCCCGGAGAGCAGCACTCCGCTGCCACAGCAAGGCGTTCTCGGAGAGCGAGCTTGAACTTGGCAACACACAGCCCCCCATGATGAGTTCGAGGGTCCCCAGACGGGAGCCGCGCCCCGCCAAGAGCTGACTTGCACTCGCCGGTTGTTGGTAAGGAGCCCGCTGCCCTTTCCGATACTCTCGGGCTTCTGGGTGCCCGCGGGATGGGCTGGCGGAGGTAGCTGACTGACGACCCTCGCCACTGGCTCTGCAGTGGGACTGGGACGTCGTGGGTACCCCTGACACAAAGGAACAGAGTGTTCCCCAATCGGCTGCGGGGTGGGGTCGGGGCTGGAAGTGGGAGCCCTCCGGGGAATCCGCAGGGAAGGGAGGCCGGGTGTCGCGGCCGCTTTCCGAGCGGGCGCAGGCGGAGGGGGCTGCACAGCTCCCAGGGGTTTCCTCGCCTGGGGAGGGCCTGGAGCTCGCGTCCCTCCCTTTTCCTGTTTCTTGCCCCCATTGCCAGGCGACTTTTGTCGTCCCCAGGACTGCGGGAGGGGCCGCGGCGCCCCCGCCTTCGGAGGAGCCCGAGCCGCAGGATGCGCGGGGACGCGCCGCCGCCCTCCGCGCTCAGTTCCGCCGGCGCTTCCCCGGCGGCTCCCGGGCGCTGACTCCCCGGGCTTCTCCGCCCTCCTTACCTCCAGCTGGCGCCGGGCGGCTCGTCCGCGTGGCCCTGGACCCCGCCGGGAACCGGCCCTCTCGCCCTGGCCGCCGCGCGGACAATAAATTAATGCCTCGCGCTTGAGGGGAGGGGGCGGCTCGGCGCCTTGGTCGCGGCTTTCTCTCCTGGCTGGAGACGGCCACAGCCGACATGGGCTGCTTCTGCGCTGTTCCGGAAGAATTTTACTGCGAAGTTTTGCTTCTGAATGAATCCAAGTTAACCCTCACCACCCAGCAGCAGGGCATCAAGGTAGGCGCGGGCCGGGGGCGTGTCCCGGGGGCTCGGCAGCCGGGCAGGCTCGGGGGTCCGAGGCTTTGTCTGAGGGCTGTCACGGGTCTCGGCCGGCCACTGCTCTCTGCGAGCTGGGAAGGAGCCGCGGCTGCCCTGCGCTCAGGTAGAGTGTGGACGGGTCCGGGTGGATTCACTTTGAGTCCCTTCACATAAAGGGAAGTAAGTTTCTTGTCTCAAAGGGTAGTCCGCCAATCCACTCTCAGCTGCAGCCCACAGTCCTGCAACTGAGACCAAAACTCTTCCCAGCACCAGTTTCCTCCAAAAGCATCTAAGGCCCCCGCAGCTCCAAAGAAGCACAGGATTGAATATACGGGCTGCATACAGTGTTGAAGGCACGATTTCCCTTGGCTTTGTTGAAGGCTTTTTTCTATTCCTGTCATTGGGGAAGTAACATATAGTTCACTCGCTGAAACACATTTACTGGGTGACTGTGATTGTGTTGCCTGGGTTTGTAGTTGGGTAATGCTGCGTTTGGACGGACAATAATTTCCAGTTCTACAAGCCAACTGGTTTTATCCCCACGTTTAAGTAAACATCTCTCAAAGCGACTCGGTAAATAACTTTGCTCCTGTTTGTAGGCCATTAAAATGCAATTACTGCTATTAACCTAGAGAACCTAAACAAAAAGGCTGTGGGAGATTGCAGAGATCCACTTCCTTAATTTTGATGAGTTCTTATGTTTATGGTTGACAACCTGACGGACACGCCTGCGCGCTTGTTTTGCTCTTGCTAACAACTAACTACCCAAAGGTGATCCGAATTCCGAACGTTTTGTTTTGTTTCTTCTTCTGCATATTTAAATCGCCGGAGCATTTTAAATAACCTTAGCAGCTGAGTCCAGTGAAGGGCTACCGCTCCTCCTTCCCACTATTGCCCCCCCACCCTCCATCCCCGTAGAGCTGGCGGTCTGAGAATCAAGTTCAAGCTGCAGGTGTCCTAGTCTTGTATGGCATAAATTAATCCCAATGGCGTAGGCCCTGGGCATTTCCTTGTGTGAATCAGTTTTTACACAGCTTTATTATGTACACTGAAGTAACTGTTCAGTAACACTGAAGTAACTGTTCAGTAACACTGAAGTAACTGTTCCTGGCCAAAAGCTGAAGCTCTGATGTCACCATTCCTGGTGTACAGAATTCTCATTTCACAGGTGTCAATCCTAAGCAGGAGATGGGGGTAAAAATGATCAGTTAAAACCACAAGATAAAGTTAACCCTTTCTTCGGGAGATTGTTTAGAACATTGCTTCCAGGAATTATAAAACGCAAAAGTCAGTCAGATTCTCATTTGGTGCTTCCCTTCAAGGCCAATAAAAGACTTCTGGAGGGGCGCCTGGGTGGCTCAGATGGTTAAGCGTCTGCCTTTGGCTCCAGTCATGATCCCAGGATCCTAGGATCGAGCCCAGCATTGGGCTCCTGGCTCAGCGTCCCGGGAGTCTGCTTCTCCCTCTCCCTCTCCCTCTCCCCCTGCTCATGCTCTCTCTCTCTCTGTGTGTCTCAAATGAATAAATAAAATATTAAAAAAAAAAAGACTCCTGGAAAAGGTGGTTTCATATTTTCATATTTTACATTTCCAGCTTTTCTTTATGTCCCCCCCCATGAAATCAGGAAAAGAACTTTTCAAAAGGGTGTACTGTGGTGTACTGTGTACTGTGCAAATAGGCAAAAATCATAAAACATCATAAATTTTTGATAATACATAGATTCTCTTTGGCTTGTGGGAAAGAAACAATTAGAAAAAGGATAACGGATGATCTGGTACTAAAACAACAAAGAAATCTTTCTGAAGTGCACAGTCTAGAGTCATCTGGAGTGTGAGCTTCCTATTTAATCATGAAAGCCATACCCCTGTCAGCTGTGGAGCATGTACATTATTCTGTCAAGAGAGCAGCCAAGACTTGGGATCAAATGGAATAATTTTGTCAAAGAAACATGAATAAATCCTGATCCATAATTACTTTTTATAACCTGATGGTGCTTATCTTGTTTTATAAATATGTTGAAAATTGGTGAGTGATTCAAAAGCAGTAGCAACTTTATAATGCTGTTATTTTGGATACATGCCATTTAACTAAACAATAATTTAAGCAGGGTTTTGTTGGAAGTAATCATTTTGCAACAGGCTTGGCCTGTTTCAGTGTCAAAAAAGCATGCCACAATTATTTTGATGACCATATGTGTAACACAGATGTTGTCTGCTGAAGTTAACCACATTATCTGTAACTACCAGGCTACCATTAAGTGCATGTGTTAAGCACCTATCTACTTGTGGTATGTACTAAATTAAACACATGTGTGTTTATAAATGGAATGTACAGACAGCATCTCACATGTGGATGGTATTCAGACATTGAATGGATATGTGTATGTTGTTATTCTGTACATATTTGACATTTTCTTTAACTCCTACTTTAGTTCGTAAATAAAATAGTAAACTAAAATGTAAATGAAATAGTCAATAGCTACTATTATGGTGTTTTCCCCAGGATAGTACACTTGGTAACTTTTATTATCATTAATTAAAGTCAAAGTTAAGCATATGACATCAATTAGCCTATTTTACTCCTGAAATTAAAATAGAAAAATCTTTTTATTTTTCAAAAGTATTTTCTAATGTTTTGAGATGACCCTTTTCCATATTCTATCTCAAATGAAATGAAGACAGTTAATTTTGCATTAAAATTATTCACTTATTTCATCCCTTCGTGGAAGGATGGATTTTACTGATTCCTAAATAGTTACTTAAGAATTTGCTTGTATTACTGTCATAATAATGCGCTGTGAGTTTAAAAAATTAATTGTGAATTTAAGTAGAAGAAATATGAGAGAAACTTGGTAAAACATTTTTTCTGTGTGCCATTTTGAAAAAAAAAAAACACTTTTTGGATTTGTTTAAGTACCAGATTACAAATTGAAGTTAATCATGAAGTGATTTTCTGCAACTTAGATCAAAGTCTTTCATCGACTAGAAAAAAATTGATGTGTTTGCTCTCATGGAAAGCATTTCAGCCTGGAGACAATAGTTACACATCTTCTGTGTCAAGATGAAGAGCATTTAAGTGGAAAATAATTTTCTGTTTTTAAAGAAATAAAACACAATGTATTTGTATTCATACTAATGTTATATAGAAATTTGCTTCTTAACTTGCCTTAGAGGTAACCTTACCTTGACAAGTGGGAAGTCTTTCGCATGCGGTTCGCAGTTTGAGCCTTATCTAGGATTTAAGAACCCAAGTTTATATAAACTGAAAGCTATTGGTTGTGTGTTGACCCCCACAATAGCTTTTAGCTGTTTGTTCTATGCTGCTATCTCTGTTGTTTGTTTAAGTAAGAATTTCTGCTGTGGTTGGTCTTTTGGTTTTTTGAGTAATGTTTGTTCAGGGAAACTTTTGTTATGTCCTTTGTAGTTCTCTGTGCTGGGGGAGGTAGAGATCTTTCTTTTCTTCTCTGAGAAAGCAAAATTTGACTGTGGCTCAAACTACTTGTGTAAGTTGTCAAATGATTAGCAAAAGATTTTCAGGGGAAAAAATCAGAAGGTTTGATTATAAATATAGGCCTCAGAATTGCTGCTGCAAATATGAACTAGATTAATATTTTCGTTTCAGTGAGGTTTTAGTGCTCTGAGCAGTAATGTAATAAACACTGAGGTGCTTATTTTCCCTTGTTGTATTTGACTAAATTAATGAAACCAATATGACAGCAAGATGGAAATTCCATTAACTTTTTAAAAAAGGTGTTATTGAGATATACAGTTCACACAATTGAAGTGTGCAATTTACCCATTAACTTCTAAATGAAGTTACTTCCTAATCATCCTGAGGTTTCTGAGGAAACATTGTGAGTCAGTTTTAATGCTTTGATCAGAAACTTCCTATTAAACTAGAAAAGGGCGCCTGGGTGGCTCAGTTGGTTAAGCGACTGCCTTCGGCTCAGATCATGATCCTGGAGTCCCGGGATCGAGTCCCGCATCGGGTTCCCTGCTTGGCGGGGAGTCTGCTTCTCCCTCTGACCCTCCCCCCTCTCATGTGCTCTCTCTCTCTCATTCTCGCTCTCTCAGATAAATAAATCATAAAAAAAAAAAAGAAAAAATAAACTAGAAAAACAGTCAGAAGGTAGGGACTTAAATTATTTGCATCTCGCTTACCAAGAATTGTAATTTTCATTCCATTTGGACTGGTGAAGAAAACATCTAAGAAGATTGGGAACACAGTGACAAGCACCAGTGCTTCATAAATCATACTAAATATATATGTGGCTACCCATATCTTTTAATATAACAGCCTCATAAGGTATAGAGTCAGGGACCTGTAAACATAGGTTGAAGCAAGAAATCGTACACCAACATGTCTGTCAATGTGAGGTTGGCTGTGGGTCTTGTTTAGTTGGTAAATTAGATGTGACTGGGATAGAAGTCCCCCTCACCAACCCTGCATCTTATTTTCTGAAATTCAAATAGGATATCTGTATTATTGTGGCTGTTGAAGATGGACTACTACATAAATGCTCATTCAAATACCTTTGTTTTTAAAACGATTCAAAGTATTTTCCAGCTTTATTAAGGTATAATTGACAAATGGAATTAGATTAAATTATACAGCATGATTGATAGAACCTAAGTTGCAGAAGGATTCCGACGATCCCACCGTTTGAGGTAATGAACACATCCATCACCTCACATGATTACTTTTTGTTGTTGTTGAGAATACGTGAGTTCTACTCTCTTAGCAAATTTCAGTTCTACAATACAGCCTTATCAAGATCCTCAAACTATAAATGCCCCCTCAATTTTATAAGAAGTTTTTTTTCCTTGAAAAAAATTATTTAAAAATACCATTTATCATTCATGGTTTGAAAGTGATTTAAAAGTAATTTAAGAGGAGAAGCATTGTTGGTTACCTCCAGCAACTAAAGGCTGTCCTTCTCCAAGTGCTTATAATTTTTTTGGTTTTTGGTGCACTACACT